TAGCAGCAGGCGGTCTCGAAGATAACTAGGTCCTATGCCATGGAGCGCTTTAAAGGTGGTGACCAACACCTTGAAGCGCACCCGGAAGACCACTGGGAGCCAGTGCAGCTCACGCAGGAGCGGTGTTATGTGGGAGCACCAGGCAGCTCCCGTAATTACCCGCGCGGCCGCATTCTGGACTAGTTGGAGCCTCTGGGTGCTCCTCAAGGGGAGCCCCATGTAGAGAGCGTTGCAGTAGTCCAGGCGCGAGGTGACAAGGGCATGAGTGACTGTGCACAGGGAATCCCGATCAAGAAAGGGCCGCAACTGGCAGATCAGGCGAACCTGACAAAAGGTCCCCCTGGCTACCGCCGTCAGATGTTCCTCTAAAGACAGCTGCGATTCCAGGAGGACACCCAGATTGTGCGCCCTCTCCGCGGGGGCCAAAGACTCGCCCCCGATAGTCAGTGATGGAGTCAACTGACTAAATCGGGATGCCGGGAACCACAGCCACTCAGTCTTGGAAGGGTTGAGCCTGAGCCTGTTCCTCCCCATCCAGATCCGCACAGCCTCCAAGCATTGGGACATCACTTCAAGGGCATCATTGGGGTGGCCTGGGCTGGAGATGTACAGCTAGGTGTCGTCAGCGTACTGATGGTATTTCACCCCAAAGCCACGGATGATCTCACCCAGCGGCTTCACATAAATGTTGAACAAAAGGGGCGAGAGGACCGACCCCTGAGGCACTCCACAAATGAGAGGCCTCGAGGTCGACCTCTGCCCCCCCTGCCAACACGAACTGCGACCGGTCTGAGAGAAAGGAGGAGAACCACCATAGCACGGTGCCCCCCATCCCCAACTCCTCCAACCGGTGCAGCATGATACCATGGTCGATGGTCTCAAAAGCCGCTGAGAGATTTAACAGGGCTAGAACAGAGGAGCAACCCCTGTCCCGCGCCCTCCAGAGATCATCTACCAATGCGACCAATGCCGTTTCCGTGCTGTGCCCAGGCCTGAAACCCGACTGGAACGGATCCAGATAAGACGTTTCCTCCAGGAATTGTGGAAACTGTCGCGCAACCACACTCTCAACAACCTTCGCCACGAAGCAAAGGTTGGAGACAGGACGGTAGTTGGCTAATACTGCTGGGTCCAGGGCAGGCTTCTTGAGGAAAGGCATCACCACCGCCTCTTTCAAGGCAGCGGGGAAGTAACCCTCACTCAGCGAAGCGTTGATAATTCTATTCGAACCGCCAAACTTTCTGATCGACAAGCTCAGTGTCTTAGCCACTGAGTCACCTAGTCAGGCTCAGTCACCTTTTCCATTGATGGCTTTTCATAGATGAGTTCTCCATCATAATGGGCCTGGTGTCAGGACCCCAGGTCCTGACTGGTCTTGCCTTCATCATTCTGTCTCCCTACCCCATAGTGGTTGAGAAGCAATGCGTCTTATGATAAATTGGGCTTTTCTGACTGGCTGTTCTCACAATGGAAGCCATTTATGAAGGCATGGCAGTAAGAGGTACTGGTTTATGGCTTCCAGCACTGCTGCAAGATGTTGCAATATTTCCATGCTGTGTGGAAATGAGCTGCCTGTAGACAGCAAAGAAGCACATGAATGAAATTGTAGTTCCCAACTATGAATCCTCTAGTTTTGCTATACATACCCTGCAGTAAGGAAATTGTTACATTAAATTGGCAGAGTATTCATTCCATTGATTCAGGACTCAAAAAACAGGCCTTCTTTCAGGTGCAAGTCATACTTTCATTTATCTTATAGCCTATGGCTATAATTCTTTCTTAAAAATTATAATAGATTTCATTACTGTCAAGAAGGTGAAAGATGAATGTGTTTTTCAATCAGGTTGTTTAGAGTCTTGGCATTTTCATTTTAGATACTTTCAACACAAAATACGGACAGGATCCCCACTGAATTTCACTAAACCTACTTCTGGGGAAGGAACTTAATTTTCACTCGAAGCCTTAAAAAAGTCACTGCCACTATTTTTATCATTTCTGGGGCAGCTGTTGTTTGGAACTGCATGTTGCTGCAGCACTCTCTTCCTCACATTTCCAATTATAGAAACAGTTCACAGGGAAGATGTCCAATTATTGCCAACCCAATTTGAGAGGGATTAGAGCTTTTGTATTTTCTCTCTCGCATTATCTACTTCTGAGAATTTCAGCTTCATTTCTGAACTTTTAGAGAACTCTATTTTAAAGCTCTGCCTATAGATTCTGAATGCTTTCCATTTTCAAGAACCCCAATGCAAATACATAATTTGCATTACAACTCTCGGAAACAAATATTACAATGGATAACTAGCCATAAAAACATCACTGCAATTTTTGTTTTGTTTTGTTTCTTCTGTTCAATCATGTCCGATTCTCAAATACGGCCTGGACAAGTCCACACAGTTTCCTTGGCCAGGTTTTCCAGAAGTGGTTTGCCATTGCCTCATTCCTTGGGTTGACAGAAAGTGACCAACCCAAGGTCATCCAGCTGAGAAGGTTGCAAATGGCGATCACACGCTGTCATTGCAGCTGTCGCAAATATGTACTGGTTGCCAAGCACCCGAATGTGACCGTAGAGATGCTGTGATGGTCATAGGTGTGAAGATTGATCCTAAATCACTTTTTTTCAGTGCTGTTGCCACTTTCAAATGGGCGCTAAAAGGAAGATTGTAACCTGAGGATTACCTGTATAGGCTTTGGGCTTCTTGGATTTTTGTATGGTGTTTGGGATCTGTTTAAGTTACCTAAACAAACACTACATCTTTGTAAGAAACCTGGCTCAAAATGGTGGAAAACCACATCCCTGATTTTTAGTAAATGAGTGTGTAGGATGCCCAAAAAGCACAAAGGCCTGGAACATGGGCACAGGGCTTCAAACTACACAATTCTGAAAGTGAAACAAGAGCTTAAATCAGCCATGCCCCTTGCAAGGCTTTTGTGGCTGTTTTGACACTCCTTTGCCTGGAAGGCAGTCTCAGCGGAAATATTCCCTGCAGATGATATGGAGACAACCGGGAACAGCTTTTGAAATTGGCCAGGTGAGCCTTGCAAGACACAGGATTTTATTTGTGCTAGCTTGCCTTGCAAAATGCTTCTTTCGACTGCTTTACGCTGCCTATCTATCAACAACATGTGGAGGATCAGCATGTTTCCCACAGATTTTCCAACCCTGATTCTTTGTTTTTTTAGCTGTACTACTGACCACTGGGGACGCAGTGGCTCAGTGGCTAAGACGCTGAGCTTGTCGATCAGGTCGGCAGTTCAGTAGTTCGAATCCCTAGCGCCGGGTAACTGGGTGAGCTCCTTTTACTTGTTCCAGCTTCTGCCAACCTAGCAGTTCAAAAGCACATAAAAAATGCAAGTAGAAAAATAGGGACCACCTTTGGTGGGAAGGTAGCAGCGTTCCATGCCCCTTTGGTGCTTAGTCATGCCGGCCACATGAGACATCTTCGGACAGCGCTGGTTCTTCAGCTTTGAAACGGAGATGAGCACCACCCTCTAGAGTCGGGAACGACTAGCACATATGTGTGAGGGGAACCTTTACCTTTACTGACCACTACTGAAGAGTACAGAGACCCTATCACCAAAACACTGTATACCATCCAGTGATGTTGGCATGAATTGTACCTCTGTACTGGCTTTATATCCCACTTTTCTTTAAAGAGCTTATAGATTCAGCTTTTTAGCTCACTGCCATCCAGTTGTTGATAATTAATGTTAAAATATTTAGTCCATATTACAGCCTTGCCTTTGCTACTGTCTCCTGTCCCAATCTAGGCAATTCTGATCCTGCTTGGCTTAGTGTGATATGATTGAATTATACGTTAAGACATTCAGTTGTAGTGTTTCTAGCAGTGTCCTTGGCCTTTTTAAGATATGTGGGCTTCAACTTCCGGTTGGCTGGGGAATTCTGGGTGTTGAAGTCCTAGAAGTTCCCAAAGTTAAGAAACACTGGTCTATAGGCTCAGCTAAGACAATGAGCTCATTCTAAGCTGAAATTAATTTATTGAGGCAGAGCTGTTACAGTAAATATTTGTAATTTATCACCAAAGCTGTTTTTTACGTACGTTTTAAATTTCAACAAAACCATTCTGATGCTGGGTTTTGGGTAGAATTTCTCTTAATCTCATTCTTCTTCATTCCACACTGGAATGAATTCAGGATAACACTATTTCATCTGAAGAAACAGATTCTAATCAATACTTGTCTATGCCATAATGAAAGGGGCTGCTTGATGCTTTTTGGGTTTGGCTACAACAGGGTAACACAATAATATAGCTAATTCCCATTAGGGTTTTATGTATCAGTTCTAATGTGTATCTATTTTTGATTAACTTGCATGCAACACCAGAGGCGCTAATGAAAAAAGTCACAAGTTCTATGAACAGAAACATTTTGGAATCCATAAATAGCATCTTAATCTGCTTTTCTTCAAGGTATACCTATCTAAATCCAGGTTTCAGTTTCTTGGGAGTATTTTAACCAATCTAGCTGGGTCCAGATTCTTCTAGACAAAAGACTTTTCTTTTGCACCTGATGAACACTTCCTCCTCAAGAGATATCCAAGAGCAATTCACTAGTCAGTTTAGAGTCAATGTTACGAACCAGGGTATCTTTGTTTGCAAATAATAGCCTCTGAGAAAGCATCCCCAGGGCCACACAAGTCAAAACAGAGAGGTGACGCTTTCCAAACACTCCCCTATGGACTGAGAAAATTTTCATCAACCTTCCATCTCTGTTGCTAGTAGGGACAAAAGACAAATAATGTGAATCAATCCATTAAGGTTTGGATTCAGATCCCACTATCTTCCTATAGAGAAAAAAAAATACAACATCTATACCTATAGGGATTTACTTTTAGTTGTTCTATTTGCCCAAGCATAGCTGAGAACTGGAAATAACATACAATTGGTGGCTCAAATAACCAATCCTGTCCCCTCATGTTTCCTGCTCTCCAAGTCTCACCAAGAAGTTTGCTCCAATTATAAACAACAACCAAAAAAAGCTAAGTAGCTAGAACAAATGTATTAGAACTGAAAGGAGAAAAGCTGTATCTCAATCATTATTTCCACACAGTCATAAAATGCAGAACCTTCACTAGTTATCAATTACAGACTTTTACTGACAGGCTGAAACAAGTTAAGACAGATTTCATGGGTATGATGCCAATAATTAACAATAGGATATTAAGATGAACAAGGTAGTAAGGAAGAATAACTAGAATTAGGATCCAAAGTCACCGAAACAGAGGAAAAACAGCATTTGCTTCAAACACTCTTTGTTTCTAACACCGGTAATTAAACTCAAAATTAAAAGAACGCCATCCCTAAATTTAATCTTCCCCATTTGTATGCGTGCTCCTTTGTTGACCAAATATAATAACTACAGATACGCACTGGCAATTTCTCAGAAGGAAGATACAAATCTGTTTTGAAAGCTATTTGCAGAATGCTATTAGGGCAGAAGTTTCTCCAGAGCTCCAGCTGAAAAACATCAGGTGCAAAGAACCTGCACTTTTATTGTCTAATTCTGAATAATGAACACATGCTTTGGAACACATCATCCACAAGGCAGCCAACATTTTTAGAATATTTAAAAAAACTGCGTAACTGCTGCGGGCACATCTCCCCCACCTGGCACTTCACAGCTCCATGATCAGGTTGGTTTGCTGATACAGATGTGCCACAGAAAATGCAGACACTACTGAAACCGCCTATGTTCGATTGATGGGGGAGGAAGAATTACTGTAGATAATATGTAATTATGGTTGAGCATTGACAAACTCTCTCGAGTTCTGATTGCTATTTTTATTTGGAGTCCAGGGTTTTCTGGTCTTTGTAAGGAAGGAAATCCATAACAAACGGGATGAAGAACGTTAAAAGGTTATTCACGTCCTTCAGTTCTAAAGAATATTTCTCTGCTATTTTCTCAGCAGTCCATGTCTCTGGAGAGCGGTGATGATTGTTGAGAAGAGTCATGGCTTCCTCTATCAAGACTTTGCCTTTGGGAACAGTCTGAATGTCCAGATAATTGAACTGTCCATCTATTACCGGCCTGTAATCCTCCTGCTTATGTGGGAGATTTCTCCCTTTTTTTTTCCTCTAGGAGAAAAAAAACATTAAAAAAAAAAACACCATTAGAAATATGTTAGTCAATGTTCTATTTCTATATTAAGGCATTTATTTTTCATGTAACCACCTGTAACAAAGTTATGAACTACAGGTAATCCTTGGGTTACAATGATAAAGCAATGATGCAGTCATAAAGCAGAATGTATCATGACTGCAATGGTAATAGACATTGTCATTGTTAAGCAAGGACTGTGTAGAGCAAGGACCTCACAAGACCGCATCATGGGCAAAGGTAGGGAGCAAGGACCTCACAAGGCAAGCAAGGACCTCACAAGACCGCATCATGGGCAAAGGTAGGGATCAAGAGATGTTTGTTTATGCTGCTGAAACTTTGTTCCAGATACTTAGGCAGGGAGGTCCCACAAGTAGGTGCTAGAGTGCAGGGTGGGCAGGTGCTGGGGTGACCACTAGAGAATGCAGTCAGGCACTACAGAGAACAGGTGGACGGGTTCTGTCCACATGCTGTCCAGAGACTTATTTGGGAAAAAACTGGTGGGGCTGAATGACTTGTAACCTCCTGCCAGTTTCCCATTGACTTTGGTTGTGAGAAGTTGGCAGGGAAGATCACAAATGGCAATCACATGCCTATGGGATGCTGCAGGTCTCATAATTGTGAGTTGGTTCCCAAGTGCCCAAATTGTGATCACATGGTCACAGGGATGCCCCAATCATTGCAATTCAAGGATCAGTTGTAAGCAGGGTGGATAAAAATCAATGATTTTTTTTAAAAAAATAAAAAAAAATCAGATTTTTTTGATTTTTATCGAATTTATTTTAATAAAAAACTTTGGGGGTAAAAATCTATCATGACATAGTTTTCTTTTTAAGATACATAAATAATTTAGTTTATTCAGCATGAAATGGAGCTTAGTTATGTAGCATGAGGCTGTATATTCTGGTTGTAAGACACACACACACCATTCAGTGCTGTCATAGCTAAATGGTTGCTGAACTAATAGCACTTAGCAATAGCACTTACACTTATATACCGCTTCACAGTGCTTTTATAGCCCTCTCTAAGCGTTTTACAGTGTATTACCCCCAATAATCTAGGTCCTCATTTTACCCACTTCAGAAGGATGGAAGGCTGAGTCAATCTTGAACCTGGTGAGATTCAAACTGCTGAACTTCTGGCAGCCGGCAGTCAGCAAAAGTAGCCTGCAGTACTGCATTCTAATCACTGCGCCACCGCAGCTCTTGGTCACTAAGTGAGGACTACCTGTATTCTTCTCTTATGAGCCTATCTGGTTTCCCATTTAAAAGAAGTGTCTGGTTATAATACTTGTTATTCTGGCTGTTTAATGAACTGGAAATACCTCAGAGGTATTTGGAAAAATATTACAACATCCCAGATTCATATCTAGGATTATTAGCAAGCTAGAATCCTGAAATATGGCTGCCATCAGTTAAAGACAAAGTCAAGCCAAATAGAATAATAGTCTGGCTTGTTATACAGTGGCTTGTTACTTTTTTATTTTCCAACGGGTTTTAAAAATCCCTTTCCCCCTCAATGCATTTGCCTTCTCCCTCTCTTTATCCTCATGAGAACTAGGGAGGGTCTTGTCTAAGATGCTTCCTCAGGTTACAATTCTGTTCTGGACTCAAGTTTCTTTTATCTGACTGTTAACTTGCCAGCAGCTCTTCCTTTTCTTCCTCAATATTGTTTCTTCTTGACTATAATTCAAATTTTCCCTCAGCTATAGGACCTAGCTGGTGGTTCTGGGCATTCTCTCTCAAGACATTCTCTCGTTTTAAAAACCTCACAAGATTGTTCTGAGTCTAAAATGAGGGGAGACCTATATGCTAAGCTACTTGGAGTGTTTAAGGAGGAAAAAAGATATCAGTGCAAAATTAGAAAACAATTAAGAACCTAAAACAGCCCTGCTGGCTTAAGCCCAGGCCCTTTTAGTTTAACATTTGATTTCTTGCATTATCTAAACAGAAGTCTCTAGATGCAGGATCCAGTGCCAATTACAGCCACCTTAACTTATTTTCATGGTATCTAAATGCAAGCCTGATTAATTTTACATTACATCCAATTGATTTTAGCCAAATGTTGCAGCCTGTCAAGATATCCTCAGTATCTTATTTCTATTTTTAAATAATTATACATGAAAATATTCCCAATGAAGATTTGTTTTTTGGGTAACCTAAATGACAAGAGGCCTTGCCCATTAACATACAAGATAAAAGACATAACCTCAGAGGTGCATCTTTTCTGAAAAATAAATGATCTAATCATAAAAAATTTTTTTTATACATTTCATTATCTTTTCAGGAATCTTAGAAAATTGTAAATGGAGCATTTAGGATTAGCCACAGAGCTTTAGTTATGATAACTGAGGCCAAGCAATTGTTTGTTGGGCAAAAAAATCCAAAAAGAAGGAAGGAGAATAAGGAAGCAATTGCAAATTCTACAGCTTAGTTTTCTCAACCTTGGCAACTTTAAGATATGTGGACTTCAGCAAGCTGGCGTATTCTGGGAGTTAAAGTCCAGACATCTTAAAAGTCACCCAGGTTAAGAAACACTGCAGCCCCACACTGCAGGGCCCTGTAGGATAATGCTCCTTTGCAAGTCAAAATTGCAGGCTGGGGAGGGACCAGCAAGGCAAGAGTGATTCTTCTCTCTTTTTTTTATCTCCACCTAGTGGACTGCCAGAAGAAAGACAGTTTTTCTAAACTGATCCTTTGCAGTGGATTTTTGAAATTAGACTGAGCTGACGACCTATTTTATAGCATCAAAACACAAGGAATTTTACAAACTGATATGCTAAGAGATGGTCTGTTCTTGCTTGAGAGTTTTAATTGCTATGAAAAGGCTAAGCACAGGGACTGCTTGCAGTAGACTACTGGGAAAAAAAAAAAAAGACCGGCTATGAATTTCTTATCTTGGATAACTGGTTTGTCGATATCAACAGATCATTCTTTGCTATGCTGCAATTTGTTTCCCTTATTGGGTTTTACATTTTGACACTACCAATAATCACTTAAATTTAAAATAAGCAATGCTGGTGAGTGAGGATAAGATATTTTTTCATTCCCCAAAGTGCCCCACAAGCTCCCCAGAAATCTCGTTATAGATTGATGTACAATTTCTCTTTAAAATACTCCAAAAAGGATAGTGGAGGACAGCAACGATAGCAAACACAGCCATGGTATTTTTTTTCCATACAACCTCATGAGAAATATTAAAATTCAGACTAAAGATAACTATCTCTGCAACTACAGTGAGTGGAGGAGAGGGGGAGAGATGAACAGAAACAAGGAGGCAAAGAAAGATCTGGGACAGAAAGTAGAGCAAGCTGCCAGAGGCACAGTATGGCAAAAAAGAAAAAGGAGGGCATCTCCGAGCAGGACACCCTTCAGCATTTCTTTCTAACTTCTAAACTCTGAGAATAAGCTGTCTATAGGCCCTGAACCTAACTCGTTCGCCAAATGCATGAGAGTTATCCTCCAGGCCCAGTTATCTCTCTTATATTAAAGTCAACATCAATTATCTTAGAGAGAAAGCCCTATTAAACACAGCCAATATTATTTCTGAATAATCTTCCAGATATTTGGACATCTATAAGCACCTTAATGTCAGATTCCAAATACAAATAAGTTATTCAGAAGTGCTTACTTTTGTCCCCCAACTTATGACTACAATTGGGACCAGCATTTCCATTGTTATACAAGAGGTTGTTTAAGTGAGTCCCATCCAATTTTAGGACCCCTTTTTGCCACGGTTGTTAAGTGAATCACTGCCGTTTGCCAAGAAAATCCAGCTTACCACATTGATTTTGCTTGTTGGAATCTGGCTGGAAAGATTACAAACGGAGATCACATCGTCGCCATTTGTAACCTACATGCCATTGGTGCAGTAGTTAGAATGCAATATCGCAGGCTAACTCTGCCCACAGTCTGGAGTTTGATCCTGATGAAGCTCGAGGTTGACTCAGCCTTCCAAGGTTGGTCAAATAAGGACTCAGATTATTGGGGGCAATACTCTGACTTTGTAAACTTCTCAGAGAGTGCTGTAAAGCACTATGGACCAGTATATAAGTCTAAGGGCTATTGTTATCCCAGGATGCTGCAACTATCATAAATACATGCCAGCTGCCAAGAGCTCAAATTTTGATCACATGACAACAGTCTAAGTGAAAAGAGCGGTCAAAGGTCACTTTTTTCAGTGCTTTTGTAACTTCAAACGATTGCTAAATAAATGGTTGTAAATCAAGGACTACCTGTGAGACTCTTCAAATTACCAGGAATTCTGATGCATTTGCAGTGTATTTCCAAAATAAAGGCAAAACAGAATTTTGAGCAGGTGAAATAAAAAAGACATTTGGGAAATCTGTGAAAAAGTTTACATAGACAGATCCTTGCATTTATTAGGTAAATGTCACTGGGAATGGGAAATGTATAAGAGATTAATTGCATTCAGAAACTGAAAGAAATATCAGGCATTGGCTTGTACTGATATGGGTAAGAAATCAATATAAGAAAGCAAAGACGACTTAGACTGTGTCATGAAAAACCCTGAAACTTCTTTTGTCCCCAGTACGCTATGTAAAGCTGAATTATCACTGTGTGTGTGCATTTCAAGATTCTGTAACTCACTTGCAAGTCTGGATCACTGGAATCAACATAGACATCCTTCAAGAAAGTAAGAAGCTTTTCATCTTTTTTCTTTATCTCTTCTTGGAAATCGGCAGACCCTGAAGAAAATAAACATAAAACCCATAACTTTCCATTTTTACAACAAAATAACACAGTTCCAATAGAAGAGAATATATGTAGCTCAGAGCTGAACTGTGGAGTTCTTGGTGCTCTCTGAGCTTGGCTGTTTACCTGCAGAATTTTCATTATCAAACTAGGTAACTTATCAGTGCTAGTAAGTGTGGGGTTTGCTCCTCATTTATATATAATAGCTTGTCTTGCCAGGGTTAGTGGGGTATGGTTTTCTCCTTGGTAGTTTCTTGAAGAGGATATTGTTTTCTACTTGATTGTTTGTCTCCTTACTAATTCTGTGAAACAAAAAGCCAACATCCAGATAAGCAGAGATCAACACCTAACAAACAAACAATCAAGCAAGCATAAAACAATACTCTAATCAAGGAAGTACTACAAAAAAACCAACAACATCCCCGCCAATACTGGCAGGGCAAGCTGCTGTATATAAAAAGAAAACAAACACCACTCTCCGTAGCACTGATAATGTTACCTAGTAGGTTAATGAAATGTCTGAAAGCAAACAACCAAGCTCAGAAAGCACCATGGACTCCACAATACGGTTCTAAATGAAATCATAAACAAAAAATCTGTATGTGTGTTTACAAACACAGACACCCCCCCACACACACACAAAACATCACAGCACAGCAGGAAAAGATAGGTAGAAGTTGTTTTCCAGTGGATTGTGGGTGGGTCGAGTTGATGACGTTTCCAGTCCTGAAAAATGGTTAGCCACCCATGTGGCTGGGCAAGTCAGTCCAAGTGTCGTTTCTCTGGTTTTACTTTAGCACATTGCATAAACTAAGTGATTGTGGCTTATTTAACCATAGAAAATAAAGAAAGGAGAGCTAAGTGTGTGGTGTGTTGACTGATCTGTCTGGAGCTGGAAGGAACAATACAGATAGTCCTTGACTTACGACCACAATTGAGCTGAAAATCTCTGTTGCTAAGCAAGACATTTGTTAAGTGAATTTTGCCCCATTTTACCACCTTTCTTGCCACAATTGTTACATGAATCACTGTAGTTTTTAAGTTAGTAACACAACTGTTAAGTGAATCTGATTTCCCCATTGATGTTGCTTGTCAGAAAGTCGCAAAAAGTGATCACGGGACACTGCACCTGTCAAAAATATGAGTTAGTTGCCAAGCAGCTGAATTTGGATCACAACCTGGGGATCTCTCAACCGTCCTAAGGGTGAAAAACGGTCACGAGTCATTTTTTTTTTTTGCAACTTTGAACGGTCACTAAACGAACTGTTGAAACTCGAGGACCCTCTGTACCTGCTTCTTTACAGGAGTTATAATTTCGTATTTTGCAACAGGGCTTTCGTGTAAAGAATGTCAGCCAGGATAAAAAAAAGGAGATATTGTTTGATCATTTGTATATTTACGTCTGCACTGATGGAACCGGAAGACCTTCATAGAGCCGTGGCGGCACAGTAGTTATAATGCAGTACTGCAAGCTACTTCTGCTGACTGCTGACTGCCAACAGTTTGGCAGTTCGAGTCTCACAGGCTCAAGATTGACTCAGCCTTCCATCCTTCCGAGGTCTGTAAAATGAGAACCCACATTGTTTGGGGCAACATGCTGACTCTGTAAACCGCTCAGAGAGGGCCGTAAAGCACTGTAAAGCGGTATATAACTCTAAGTGCTATTGCTATTGCTATATCTACGCTGTCTCAGCACCCTTGCACCTCTATTGCATCCCAGACTACCGTTCCCAGCCTCTGCTCATTATCGCAGACGCGCATGCGGCTGCTGCTAAAAGCCCAACCATCAATCTGTTTTTCCAAAGGCAGAGCTAACGCGCGGGCGCGGTTTCCAAAACTTGGGAGCGGAACGAAGGGTCGCTTCAATGTCACCAGCGCCTTTGGCCTCGAAAATCGCGGTTGCTTTTGTCTATGCAGCCGCCCCCCCCCCGCCCGGATTCATTTAAAGGACAAAGCCTGACTACGAATATCCCCTCCCTTTGCAAGATTTACTCCCAAGGCCCCTTTGATGCAAAGGGAAAGGAAGCCCTTTGCTCTTTATGGACGCAATGCAAACACTCGTTCCCTGCCGCGGGGCTGCCCGGGGATATTTCCCGACGGGACGGCGGCTGCTTCCCTCCCTCCCCCAAATTCCCTTTAATCCAGCCTCTCTGCAGCGGAAAGCAAAGGAAGCGGCGCAGGGGGTGATTCCACGATCGGGCAGCGCGTTTGCGCCCGCTGAACTCACAATCCGGCTTGGCTGCGGTGAGGTGGCGCGGGGCAGGCTTGGGTTTCTTCTTGCTGATTTCCCGGTGCGCTCGGCTCTCCACGTTAAACTTGCTAAGCACGCGGGTCACCCTGCCGCCCATCGCACCGGCTCACAACACAACGCGTCGGGGAAGGTGTCAGGCTGGCCTTCGCGCAGAAGACCGGCGATAGGAGTACAGACCGCGGCCGAGGGCGCCGCTTAGTGGAGCGGAGGTCGGGTTGTTTTCTAAAACAGAAAGTCGAATTCGCTTTTTGTTTTGTTTTGTTTTGTTTTGGGAAATCCGAAACTGATGTTCGTTTTATTGTAAACTTGAGCCCGAACCTTCTGTGATATTCCACCCCACCCCCACCCCCCGTGTGAATCAGGAAGGTGCGAGCTCGAAACTTTACGATCCAACTAGGGTTGGGAAGATTGGAAAAAGGGACACTCACCCTTTGACTTTCTGGGCCTCCATGACAAGAATTACAGCGAAAAACTGCCAAAAAACCAAAAACAACCCCCCCCACACACATACACAGTTTTAGTATCAGGATTTCAATTGCTATGCTTTCCCTATAAATTTTTATTTTTCAAATACATGCTAATGATAATATAGAATGGACAAGAACGCTCTTCAAATTTCACCACAAGGAACCTGTGGGAATCATGTCACCTAAAGATTACAGTGATTTGAAGATTTGAAGGGGATGGGTTGAAATTGATTGCTCATAGAATCAGGAAATAAATATGTCAATCTAGAATCTGTCAACAGATGAAAAAAAGAAGCAGGCATTTTCATAATATCCCAAAGTTTTAATGACTACATATGAAGAACATAGTCTGGTTCTAACAAGGTGATGCCCACTGAAATTAAAATATTGTGAATAATTGTGTGTGTGTATCGGGGGTGAAATTTAGCAGGTTCTGGATGTTGTGGAAGAAGGAATTCAGAACCATCCCTTCAGGGCAGACAGAATCAGTTTATTTATTTATTGCAATAAAGGATCAAACCTGGTATTGCTACCAAAGAGGTCTGAACAACCTATGATTTTCAGCTCAAAGTATTTATACAGTTTCAAACAAAGGATTCTGTGAAGTCAGCATTTTCTTATTATGAGAGACATTTGTTACACAAAATGACATACCTTAATTACTATCTTTGCCAAACAGTTATAATTCTTCTTAGAAGTTACTGGAGCATAGATTCAAATTATCTCTTGTTGAAACAATAATATGGACATCTCCTCTCTCTGACCTTCAAAATGTAAATCACCAGACTGTCTTTATCTGTGACAAATGAGGGGCCTTGATGTAGAAATCCTACTTGAAAGGAATGTGTTTGCCTACGTGCTGGATACAATTGCAAGCATTTTCTCTTTTACAATATTAAGAACAAAGAGGGCCCTTCAGTGATCATCTAGTTGGACCCGCTTTTACTTTATTTATTACTTTCCCCCATTATGGAGAACCAGTAGTGGAAATTTTGAGCAGTTCGGAGAACCAGCAGATACCACATCTTGCCCCAGAGTGGGGTGGGAATGGAGATTTTGCAATATCCTTCCCCTGGAGTGGGGTGGGAATGGAGATTTTGCAGTATTCTTCCCCTGCCACGCCCACCAAGCCACACCCACCAAGCCACACCACGCCCACAGAACCGGTAGTAAAAAAATTTGGATTTCACCACTGGTGTGTATACATATACATACATACATGCAGGCATAAATATATAGAAAGAGAGTTAGACAATGTTTAATTTTAAGGCTATGGCTGCTAGTCATGAGGACATGTCTTCCTTTTGTTAGATATATGGTAACCTTAAATCAAATGATTTTTCTGGCTGAGGATGAGGGATTTGCAGCCCAACAGATCTGAAGAACACCAATTAGGTTGCAATGTCAAATTAGCTACATAACGCTTTCCAGAGGCTTTGCACCTATAAGCCTCCCTTTGGTCTAAAGTTCTGGGAATATAGGAGTTATAATTTTTGGAAGCCACCATATTAGCAACATAATCCCTTCGCAAATGCAATTATCATTTTCTATTGCAAACCTGTTCCCAGTAAATATCATTGAACGTTGTGATTTTAAACTGCTTAGATGTGTGCATAATGTTACATGCTTTTATAAAATAGGGGGGGGGGGGGTTGTCCAGGTGTGACTTACAGGATAATTTAATTACTAATCATTTTTACCTTCTATTCAGTAAAAAGAGAGTTCAAGAAAAATTTCCAAATATCATCAATAGGAAAATCAATACTTGCAAATGTTTTGATTTGTAAAATGTATAGTTTTGTAGAAGTAAAGATAAGATTCTAATCTTTATTTCTAAATTTTAAATGTATAGATTTTAGTCAAGTTCATCTTTAGAAAACTAGAGCACTGGGTCCAATTGCCCATGTAGTTTTCTTAGCAATAGTATGATAGTAGCTTGCTGTAACCTTGTTTTTTTTTTTTTAAAGTTTAATTCACAGTCCTGGGATTTCCTGGTGATCTCTATCCAAATTCTAATCAGTTCCAGCCTTCTAAAATGTCAGAATTAGCAGAGATGGCAAAATTGACTTGTCTGATTAGAGAAAGGATGATAACCATAGTATTAATGACTAGAGACCCCTTATAGAATTTTTGTTATAAAACAAAGAACTTGTGAGCTTGTTTATTAAATAGGCTCAGGCTATGGAAATAAGGAAATTATGTTGTAAACTTAGAGAAAGTAAAATATAAATGCATTTATAACTGCTGTCAAAAAGATTGGAAGCCACTTGTTTAAAACTTTTTTCTTTTTTTCCTTTTTCCCCACATTTTTTTTATTTATCTAATACTTTTTTTTAACTTTCATTACTTTTTTCTTCCCAAATTTGCCTTCTCTTTAATCTCTTAAAAATTATTTAATAAAATTTATATATAATAAACAAATAAATTAATCAGGTCTATCGCTATTTAGCTTTTTTTCAGATAAATCAAAGTTGGTTAGATGTTGTTGCTTAACAAAATGGGTTTTGGGGGAAAAAGTTGCAAACATAGTTTCTTAGTATAACATGAAGAATAATGATCTTAATGAGGTCTGGAATAGAAAAAACACTGGAAAAAGATGCAAAAATTGCTAGGTAATAGCTGATAGAAAGAAACATCAGATGGAGCTGACAGTGTCAGGCTTCCTTTCACTTCTGTTGCTTCTCTCTCTTTCTCTCTCACACCCACAAACACACAAAGAAGACAAAGGACAAAAGCACTGTGATCCTTTAAGATTAATTTACCCAGCAGTGTGAAAACATGTTGGACGTAGTAAAACCTCATCATTAATTTCTCATCAGGATATATTTTCATTGAATAACATTTCAAGCATCTTTGAGGGCTAGATTGCCTGATAAATGCAATAAATAAGAGAAAAATTGACCTTGAACTACCGTATTTTTGGGAGTATAAGACGCACACACCTACCTTTTTTGATGAGGAAAAGAAGAAAAAGAAATCTTCCTCTGCCTCAGCAATTTTGCCTCTTTGCAGCAAACAGACTGCTTTGCTTTCATTTTCATTTTCAGCATAGCTTGATTAGCACAAGGGGAAAAAAAATCTGCTCCAGCAATTTACTTCCTTGCAGCAAGCAGCAGAGCCCTGCCCAAAACAGCTGGGAGCAAATCAGCTGAGAGTTATGAGGCCGATCCAATCAATTTGTACTAATTAGGCTGTCCTGAAGCTGAAAGGAGCTGTTTTTTCTTGCTGTTTGCTTGCAAGGAGGTAACTGCTGCGAGGCAGAGGCCAAAGAGTGGGGGCCAGTGGGTGGCTGGGGCTATATTTGGTGTATAAGATGCACTTAAATTTTTACCCCCTTTTAGGGGGAAAAAAGGTGTGTCTTATACTCCCCAAAATACAGTAATTATTCAGTGATCTAATTCTCCAAAATATAGTGTGGTTTGGCTTAACTGTCTTAATCGTAATATTTGTCTTCTGAACGAAAACTAGTTGTGCAGCCCAAGAAGTTATATTTAATATAGTAGAGTACTCAAACTAAAAAGTTCTTTCCAATATGTGGAGAAAGATTCAAGCCACATAAATTATTAACATTTTTGTTTTAGGTTTCCTTTGTTTTTACCTGTAAAATAATGAGTTTTTGAAGAAAAAACTGAGCCAAAACTAAGCACTTTTAGGTTTGTTCATTTTAGTAGGAAATACAGGTAGTTTTCATTTAACCACAGTAATCAGGACTGGAATTTCCATTACTAAATAACACAGTTACAAAATGTGATGTCGTATGATGCCCCTTTGGGACCTGCTGGCTTTCTCTTTGCCTTTGCTTGTTGAAAACCAATGAAAGTTGCAAATGGCAATCATGTGACCATGAGATGCTTCAACATCGTAATTGTGAGCTGCCTGCCACATGGACACTGCAACCTTGTAAGTATGAGAACTGGTCATAAGTGCTTGTTCAGCACTGTCATAAATTTGAATGGTTGCTTAACAGACTTAACAGATGGTTAAGTGAGGACTCCCTATAGTGGTAATAGCTATCCAAATTATAATAAAATCGTCAAGATTGACTATGCACATCAGGGGTGAAATGTAAAATTTGTTACTACTGGTTCTGTGGGCGTGGCTTGTGGGGGGGGGTAATGTGACTGGGTGGGCATGGCCAACTTTTTTTTTTTAACTTTTCAAAGCATTTTTTCTAATGCTTTGAAAAGCCTCTGCCGATCAGGCAACTCAGCTGGGATTGTCAGAGAGGCTTTTTAAAAAATGCTTTGAAAAGCCTCTCTGCCGATCAGGCAACTCAGCTGGAATCTTCAGAGACTTTTCAAAGCATTTTTTTACCACCTCTTCGGCCAAGAGGTTGCAGGAAAAAATGCTTTGAAAAGCCTCTGATGATCCCAGCTGAGCTGCACAATCATCAGAGGCTTTTTTTTTTACTTTTAAAAGCATTTTTTCATCGGAAGAGGTTGTAGAAAAAATGATGATCGTGGGGCTCAGCTGGGCATGGTGGGGGGGGGGGCACAGGGATTTTTGCTACCGGTTCTCCGAACCGCCCGCCATCATTGCTACTGGATCGGATGATCCAGTCCGAACCGGGAGCATTTCACCCCTGATGCATATATATGGAAAAACTGTGGCTCAGTGGCTAAGACGCTGAGCTTGTCGATCAGAAAGGTCAGCAGTTCGGCAGTTCTAATCCCTAGTATAGGTCTCTTGCG